AAACAAGAAAAACAATTTTAAGGACAATTTTTAGACATTGCATTGGAAGTGCTAAAGGAAGTAGAGAGTCTTACTCACTGGAGGGTTTTTATAACTAGTCAAAAAGATATCTTTTGGGTTGATCCGGTATGTCAGTCCCTGTTTTATGCACTTTTATGATAAAAGGAGAAGCAACAAGTATGCTGTAATTTAAAAGATTAAAATTCATGTGTTTAGAAAATGAAAAGTGAAAACTTGAAAGTCTTGCTGCCATGAATATTGGGAGTGCATTCGTCTTCTGCAGGTCCATAACAAAGTGGGAACAGTCCTGGCAAGTCTCTAGATAACTAGAAATTTGACAAAAATTAGTGTGTTATCACTGGAGGGATAGTGCAGGCTGCTGAAGCAAGAAAATGCAACTGAAAATACCACCACACAGATCTCAGAATACAGAAAATTTATCCAGAACAATGTTTTTCAAATACTGCTTAACAGGACTATGTGGGAAAAAAATTGGGAAGAGCTAAGTTGAGTTCCACGTGTGGATATGTGTGCACATGAGCACTGTCCACCCTTTCCTAGGCAGGAAGAGGGGAGGGAAGCTAACTGCCTACAGTTCATTTCCTTCACCTATTCCCCTAACACTGTCCATATTTCTGCCCCCAAATCATATCTGCATTATGAACTGTATTTTTCAGGCACCTCCTCTATATCATATCGACTTTCCTTTTTGCCTGTTCTGATTCCTCCAGTTCTGTCTCCCAGGCAGTTTTCCTCTATCTAGCTATTGCTGATTGCTTTCCATCCACTAATGTAAAGGCAACCCCAGATAACTTGTCCATTCCCCACAAAACAGCTATAGGACTCAAACCTTCATCCTCTCTATTTTGCTGTCTCCCAAGCTTCATAGGTTTTTATCCTGCATCTTCTCCACGCTCAGGCTGCTGAGCTTTGAAACCCAAACTGCACGTGTGCCCATGCTTCTCCCCATCTCACCTCAGCGTTCGTCCTGTGTGGGGTTGAATAGCAACCTCATACAGAGGACAGAAAAAGAGGCCTCTCTGGTATCGTGGGTAGTATATTCTTAGTGTATTTTTGAATGAAGAGCAGTAATCTAAGCTGGAGCCTTTCTTGGTCAATTTAGGATGTTTTTCATGTACAATAACTGCGTTTAGTTTTGACAAGCCAGTCTTTTCCTTTTATCCTTATATCAATCTTGAGCTAGAAAAAAATGGAAATGTTGCACAGGCTCTTCATAGTTTTTGTCTTTCTGAGAACAATTAAAATTGCAAACGCAATGTTACTAATGACTTATATCCATGGTAGTTTTGCTGAAGTCATTCATCATTGAAGAAACAATTTAGAATTTCTCTGCTATGTTTGTTCCTGATGTGAATAATTTAGTGTCAATGTAATTTGGGAAATAGAATTAATAAATTATACACAGAATTATATTATGAAAATAGATAGTTAACTAATGAAAGTAGGTCTTTAGCAACAGGAGACAGAGATCAGGATATTGGAAATAAAACACAAGAAGTGGGCCTGCATGGAAAATATATTTTATATTTTTAATTATCTTTATATTTATAGATAGTAATATTAAGCATAATTTCTGTATCAAAAGGGAGGTGGACATGAGAAATAAGGGAAAGCAAGAAGCATGGAGCATAGAAGCTACAAGGCCATTGGAGTGGGCAGTTGTTTACGATACAGAGGAGCTTTATGGTGAAGGGTGGGAGTTCCAGGGAGGATAGATCCAAAGCTGATTGCTGTGGAATTTTTCTTTTTAAAGTCTGAGTGATACAACAGGAGTGTATATGGGTTAGAAAACGTCTTCTCCTCTATATAAACAGGGAGCCATCTTACATTGGTTTTAGAACTTATATTAACCAAAAATGTGATTCAAGATATCATAGAGTTAGAAAACTGATATTTCTGCAGCATTGTAGCTATTATAACTGTAGCTGAGAATGCACAATTAAATCATCTGACAGCTAGTGCTTTTTTTAATAAAATACATTTATATGGAAAAATATGACATTACCTGAATTAAATATACAGGATTTTATTGCACTGATTAAGCCCTTTTATTGTAACTTTTTTTTTCTCTACTCTTGGCAACATTTCATGACTTGACTGGGAAATTACTGCCTTAGGTGATTTCTGATTGTTATTTTCAGACAACTATTTTGTATCTTTTCTGAACATGTTGTATATTTTGTTATGAGCTGTCACAGGTTTGTGCTGTGAAAATAAAGGTGTGCTAATATAACTTGATATTTCACTTGCAAGGCTTTCAGATATATCTGTCTTACTTAGGCAGTACTTCTTTCAGATGGTTCAGTTAACATGACAAGCTTTTTCCTTTCCACTGGATACATGGCAGCACATCCCTCTGCTCCCGTTCTCTCATGCTCAGTCCTATCCCATCCTTGGTACTGACATGGGTATTCATCAGGGATCCAATTCAGCTCACTTAACTAGTAGAAAGCTGACCCAGAAAGCTAAGGGTGAATAGATGTCCACTTTCTTTAGCTCTGTCAGCTACCCAGAAGTCAAACAAGCGTGAGAGGTGTTGCAGGAACGGCTGGAGGGGGAATGACGCTGCCCAGCTAGAGTATCCACGGGAGAAGGGGACAGGACTGCCTTCCAGCAGTGCCCACTGTTACAGGGGATCCAGGATGTTATCTGGCACATAAAGGTTTGCTTGACTTTCACAAAGACTTCCTAATACATTTTAGCATTACTGAAAATCCTGAATCTCATTTCTAGAATTCACTGTACAAAGCCTTGAATAGCTAGAATTAAAAGAGAGGTTTTGCTCCAACTTAAAGTCCTGATCACATGCAATGTACCCAGAAAAGAAGGTAGTAAGAGTCTTGAGAGGTCATGTGCACCATCCTCTTGTCTAAAGAAGGACGAAAAATAGTAATATCTGTCTGTCTTCTCTTCCCTTGTTTCTGTGGTACATCCATTTTCTTCTTCCTTTCTGTACTTTAATCTCTCCCTTTCTCTTGGAAGCACAATTTCAGTGCAGTCTTTCAATCAATCTTTTTTCCAGATACTCTCAACCTCTTCTCCTTCAATCCCCACACTTAATTGCAGATGCACATTTCTTCACGTAAGGTGTGAGCATTTCTTGCTATTTTTTTTCACAAGGCCTTTCTCTTCCAATTCCGCCCCCCATGTTGTGTATGGGTTATTGGTTCACGCTGAATTTTATGACTGAGAAAGGTTTATTCGTTGCCACTCCTAACGTGCATCCTGCTCATCTTTTTCTGCTCAGCTAGACATCTGAAACTGAATTCAAAATAGATTGCAGCAGAATTGCTGTTATAAAGCATATTTGATAGGTGTGAGAAACAGACATTCACTCAGGATAACTAATAGTGCTGGAAGCATTAAAAATGCATGGCATGAGATGCCTAAGTGGTCTGTAACATCATTTGAGTCCTAAGGTGAATACAGTTCAGCTGCATGTGATATGGCTGGCTATTTGCTGCTAGCAGCCCTTGTTATTTTATATTCATATTTAAGTACCGTACAGAAACTGCCGCCAGCTTTGTGGCTCAGCCGTTTTAGGCCTTGCGCAAATACACGACTTCTTCTTGGATCTATGGTATGAAAGTTTTTGTGTAGTATTGTGCTTTAAAATATCAAAGCAGGCAGATCGTTTTAGAAAGCTCTGCCTTTCTTTTTGACCTCCTCTCTGCTTCTTTGTAAGGCTTCTCTTCTCTGAATTCCTCCTGCAAAGGAAGTTGCCTGACGGTAAATGTCACAGGAGCCCAGTGCCTTTTGGACCCGTTCCTGTCCCCAAGGGAAACAGTGCTAACTAGAACTGGGAAGTGATCGTACTGTCTACCCATTTGCAGACAGTTTTCTGCTAATGCTCTAATCTACTGTCTGTTTGTGAATCAGGATTGTTTTATGCACATATGTTATTGTAATACTTACACAGTTTATAGCATTTAATGACATAGTAGGTTCTATCTTGCCTTTTATGTTTTATAAAACCTTCCTAATTTAATCTAAAAAGCATTAAAACCAAGTCCAAGAAGAGAGCAGAATCACAGTTTGATATAAGTACATTCACCTATTCATTGCCAATTTACATGCAGATCTATGCAGATTTTTTAAAATGCAGCATTATAGATATGTAGTGCCTTTTTTTTTTTCCCAGAAGCATAGATAATACTGCATAATGCTAAAATTTCCCCAGCCTTACCCATTTGGAAGAAAATTTTAATCGAAAATGGTTCAGCCATCTATAAGGAGTATGTTAGGAAAACTATATTTATTTTTCTGGTATTACAGATCTTCCAGTGATTTTCCCAGAAAAGGACAGTTATGTCCTGGATTTGCTGAGCAGAAGTTTTCCTGTAAATTGACTCATTTCTGCCAGAAGATTGTTACAGATAATCAGACACAAAAGAGCGACCTTATACACTTGGAGGAGAGGAAGGAGAGCAGAAATGCAGTAGGGGAAGGCAGACCCTGAGACCTTTACAGCAATATCAACAAATGGAGGAGGATAAAGATTAAAAACACAATTTGTTATTGAAGCTTACTTTCAACGTTTATAGACCTTTGACTGATTGACTCTGCAAGCTTAAATTATTTTTGATATAGAAGGTTGAATAAAAGAAGAGAAATGTGTTTTGGAAACTGTTGAAGGCTCAGCTCTGGTCTCTAAGATTAATATTTTCTCTACACAGTGAAGTAAAGATTCCTTCAAAATATATTAAACACTTGGAGCTAGGTAGGAACTAAGGAGCACTTAATCTTTGGAGTGTCACTTTGTAGCTAGACCTGTTTGAGGAGAATTTGTTGGCAAATTTTCACTTATTTTCTTTGTATAGTACAATAATGATTCCTTCCATATATGTACGCATTGTTACTAAACAGGTCATAAGATAAGGAGCACTTAAGCTTTAGATTTTTGCTTTGCATTTGGATTTTTCTTCTGGTGACAATTTATTCTTTAACTAATAATTGCTTTAAAACAGCCTTAGTTCCAGAGGAAGGAAACAAAGGTTATGGACCTGTTTTTGAGGAACAGCCTATTGATACCATCTACCCAGAAGAATCTTCAGATGGGCAAGTCTCAATGAACTGCAGGGCTCGGGCAATTCCTTTTCCTACTTACAGGTAAGATCTCTTTGTATTTTATGTAATAAGTGTTTCAGGTTTTAGTATGGAACGATTGGCTGTCTTAACAGGTAGATATTGTTTTCAGTGCTGGAAAGTAATGGGAGCCTTCCCGGTTTTCAGTAAGAATCAACCTTCATTTGCTTTGTCAAAGGCAGACCAGACTACAAGTGTTAAAAGTATCCCACCTCCATTGCATTAAATGTTTTTAGCATTCAAAACAATTAATGATCCAGATGCAAAATAAAAACAAGCTCTTTAAAAAATAGTAAAGAAGCTATCTTTATTTTTCTTTACTGTTTACTGTTGCTGCTAAAGCTAATTACTTGATGTAATTTTATATCTGAGTATAATTTTTCAGTGCAATGCATACTGTCAAAGTCTTTTTAACCAAAAATCACATTTGGGCTTGATGGGATTAGTTTATTTTAGTTTCTTGTTTAATTATTCTATGTATTTATTAATTGGTTTAAGTATATCAATTTACGATATAAGCAACAGGACAAGGGGTAATGGGTACAAGTTGAAACACAGGGAGTTCCAACCCCATATGAGGAAGAGCTTCTTTGCTGTGAGGGTGACAGAGCCCTGGAACAGGCTGCCCGGAGAGGTTGTGGAGTCTCCTTCTCTGGAGATCTTCAAAACCCGCCTGGATGCCACCCTGTGCCATGTGCTCTGGGTGTCCCTGCTGGAGCAGGAGGATTGGACTAGATGATCTCCAGAAGTCCCTGCCAACCTCAGACATTCTGAGATTCTAGGATCTTTCCTGCTTAAGGTAGGGAGACTGAAGTTCAAGTCCCTGTTTTTCTTGTTTCACTGGAGTGTTTTTATCCTATTTTATTCTGAAAGAAGAACCAAGTGTTGAACCTGGATATCTTACAGCCTATGATACTTTTGCAGCCGCCCTCTTATAGAGACACTCATGAATGTGCCTCATAAACCACTGAAGAAGTGAAAAACCTTATTCTTGGAAAATTTTTCATCTAGTTTCGTCATACACTTACATGTGCAACCTTTTCCATAATACTTGTATTTTCACTCATAGAGCAATTAGTAAAAACTAAATTAGTAAAAACTAACAGAGTAAAACATCATTGTGAGATCCTATGAGTTCATTTCTGCTATCATTTCTTTCTATGAGAAATTGCAATTTTAACTTCAAAAATCATTACTCAGAAAATTTTGGTACAACTTTTCAAAAAGGAAGCAAAACAAATGCCTTCTCATTTTCAAAAACCGCTATATGTCTTTAGTTTGTGAAGACTTTTCTCGCTCTTTAAATATAGTAAGTTGTACCTTTCCTGTTTTGCTCAGAAAATTCGACATTACTTTAAAACAGGATTATGGGCTCCTCCTTGTGGCCACACATATACATTCCTATAGCTCATAAATTCTGGTTCACACACACTTCTGGTTCGCACTCATCTCTTGAGTTCCTCCACTAGTTTGAGAAGTGAAGGTTGCAACAACTCAGTAAACTAACTGTAGGGTTTTACAGTTAAGATGGAAGTTTCTAGCACTTTTTTGATTGTAATAAATAGGTTTTACATCCAAATTGCCTTGGGTTTTTCACTGACTTCACTGAAATTCAGGCTTTACAAAATATTTGTAGCCCCTAGAGCAAATTCACAAGAAGCTCCCAAATATCACACTAATCCATACTTTAAAAATCCAGAAGGAATGTGTTCTTTGCCAATACGGCCTTAGCTAGCTAGCTATTTGGGGATAATTATAGTCCCAGTGTTTGGTGTGCTCTGTGTCTGTCCTTTAACCATTTGTTTCAGGATCTGGCAGCAGGGGGGCTGGGGCTGACAGGACCTGAGCAAGGGCCGCCCGGAAGCCCCGGCACAGCAGAGCCATGAGGCTGTGCTGAGTTCCTGCTCCCAGCAGCGCCTGGCCTGTAGTCAGTGTCGTCCCTGTAGCAAAGACAGGGCCCATCAGCTTGTCCTGAGCTCTGTGCAGCTACATTTATGTTTCCAGCACCTGAGCTATCTCATTTTCAGCCAGTAAGGGTATCCTGTAATACATTGCCTGCAATCAAGTTTAACCTAGGACACCTCTCTGAGCAGGTTGAAGCAAACTGAGATAAAGAATCTGTGAAGTTTGTTAAGTTATAGGCTTTTGCTGGAGGAAAATGAGAAGAGGTATAGAAATATATTAATAAACTCATATATAGTTAATCACAACATATGAGGCCATTAGGAAGTTCTTTTTCAAATCATACTTCTTACCAGATTTGTTTTTGGGGTGCAAATCTCTTGTCTTTTTTCCATAGGTGGAAACTCAACAACTGGGACATTGATTTAACGAAGGAACGCTACAGTATGGTGGGAGGCAGACTGGTAATCAATAATCCAGAGAAATCAAAGGATGGTGGAAAATATGTCTGCATAGTATCGAATATCTTTGGAACTGTCAGAAGCAGTGAAGCCACTCTGAGTTTTGGATGTAAGCAGATGTTTATAAAATAAATATTTAGAATAAATATTTAGAAACATTCCAGTTAGTTGGAGATGTCCAATGTTTTATATTGCAGTGTTTAGCTACATATATGTCATATAGCTATATTACTAGAGCAATCTTAGTTACTTTAATCTGCAGAGATGTTCTCTATTATTCAGCACACCTTAAAAGCTGTTGAGTAATTTATTGTTAAATTATTAAAGAGACTCACAAAGCCAGATCTTGAAATCACCATGTCGAGACTTTTATTTTAAGGCATGGTAGAACCTTAGGGGGAAATAGGCCGAGAAGAAGACACAAGTGGGGATGGATGGTGGCCAGGCTCTGGCCTGGTGAAGCTGCAGCTGGGCTGCCTGATGGAGGGAGGCACGATGCCCTGGAGTCAAGTGGACTCCCTGACTCCTGCTCTCCAGTAAAGGCCCTGCTGGAGACATTTCTGTCAACTTCAGAAAATCATGGTCTAGTGAATGCCTACATATGCACAGGCCAACACCATCAAAAAATACATGCATTGCAGAGAACTGATGTGCTGCATGAAGTTTAATGTGAAATTTTCTGACCGAAGACAGAGGCTTTGGGATTTTTGTTTTATTTTGCCTTCATTTTTTTACAGCTGGCAGTATTTTTTTCTAGCATGAAAAAAGTTCCAGGCTGTTATTTCCGTCTGATGGAAATGACATCAGAATTCAGTGTGCAGTGCAGACATTCCTAAAATCAGTGGAATTAGAGGTCTACGCAGCAGGGATCAGTGATGCCAGTCTTGAGCACCCGATGGGATAAAAGCTACAGTGACACCTGCGGCTACTTTAGGCAAATAAATGTAATAGATGAAAGGAGTAGAATCACAACAGTCCTAGACATCAAGAGAATTTCGTAGTTAGTGTACTGAACAAGTATCGTGAACAGAACCTTAATAGGCAGTTTTTAAATTTTTAAATGCTAGTAGAGCAAAGTGCTGAGGAACAGGATTGAAAAGATACTTGGAAGCTCATAAATGACTGATTAAAATATGTTATTATACTTCTCATTTAGCTTGCTATGTTTCTTCTACTTCTATGATAATTTGTAAAAACTTTCTAGTCTCTTTTCACAACAGTTATGATAGTTTCAAGAGATTTTAATATAGTTGCTAAAATGCAGAAAATTTCTGATCAGTAGAACTTTCGATTGGAAAATGACAACAACTTTTTAGAAGAGTTTGAAAACATATTGACCAGCTACAATTTCTGAGATGCCTTTTCTTTCTATCCTAACGTTAAATGGGCAAAAATTGTGGAACAAAACCCACACACATTTGTAAACTTTATGAATTCAGATGGATGGTGATTAATCCATATGAAGACACTGTATTTGATAGAACTGGATTGCCTGCCAAGACGAAAAGAAATAATTCTTTCTAGATTTAGTGTAATAAACCACTAGAAATTTTTTCTAGCTGTAATAAAAACATCCTTTAAGGAAGGAATTTTATTTTTCAAGAATATTTAGTGGCTTTTTGGTGTATGCTGAGCACAATCAGAAACTAATGTACTGTTTTTTTTTTTCTGGAAAATAGTTTCCAAATAGTAAAACATAGCAATTAAATAGCAGAGAGGCTACACAGTGCAGAAAAGAACCATAATGAAGATAAAATTCCCTACTCTTAACTTACCTATGAGTGCAGTGATTATGCTAATTTTTTCACTCTAGCTAAAAATTAATGTTTTTCATTTAAGAATACACAAATTTGTGTTTGTTAAGATAACTGAATAATAGTGAAAAAGTGATTACGCAAAGACATCAAAACCCAAGAGTACAGAGCATTTCCTAAGTGGAATAGAGCATACAATTACATCTTGCTTTACTGTTCCTCAAATCTACCATTGTCCATATGCAAGGCAGTATCAAATTAGCAATAAAGTTATTGCTAATGATTATCATTTTGAACATTTTCTGGTTTCTGTAACAGATTTTAAACCTCACGCCATTCCAGTGAAAGCAGAGATGGAAAATAGTGGCAGCTTTACAAAGTGATGGAAAGGTCTGCAACAAGAGGAATAGGAATGTGTGGGAGAGCTCAGAAAATACACCAAAGAGAAATAGTAGTTGATTAGTAAGGTCCATGCTGACAAACGGGATGGGAATGTATTCAAACTATTACAGGATTTAAATGAATTGAGGCATTTCAGACATTCAGGCATTCCTTGAATTTGATTCCCAGTGTTTTCTGGTAATCCTTGCTAATTCAGTCTGATAGATTCTGTTTCTTCTATAATAAATAAAACTTGGTCGAATTAGTTGTGAGCTGGTTGTGGACAACTGTATACATCCAATGTGTTACAGCTCAGAGTAAAATTATATTGAATGCTAATATCAAAAGTCCTTAGAATGATCCACTACGATGCTATCGTGTACTATCTAATCAAAAGACAGTCACTGGAAAAATGTATGTTATCTTCTGTTTTATGTTTAAGAAAGCATAATGATATTTCCTTCCTAGATTTGTGTAGTCTTTGAGATCTGATAGCTGTGACTGGCCTTGGAGGAGTCTTTTACCTGTTCTGCATGCAGCAAGTGTCTATGTTATTGCATCTGTTACGTTTATAGACTTATCTCAGCCTGTTTGTTATGAAGTTAAGAAATTAGTTATTTATATAAAATGCAAAGTATCTAGTGGATCTGTCTAACTCTACACCGCAATTTACAGTGGTCTATGGTCTCTGTTTTCTACCTAATCTCTTTTTTTTTATGTAGCTTTGTGCTGTTTTTATTTGTATTGGTTCATGGCTGACTTCTCTTGAACTTAAATTCTAATTAGGTCCCAGAGACAGACAATTTTAACAGCCTTGGAAACTTAGTAGAAGGCAAAGGTAGCTGTGAGCCATCTAAAAATATAAAAATATCTCATTCTTAGATTGTACACTTTTCTCTTACCATGTTATTATTATACTGAAGCAGCATTTAGAACAAGATTCCAGTCAGGAGCAATTTGTTCTCGCTGTGCTTGGTGACATGCAGATGCTTCACAAGAAGCATTATCTACCTTAAGGTGTTTGTGGTTTAATTCCAGATTAGATGCACAAAATGAAAATGGTAAGAAAAAGCAAAGTGTAGTTATTTCCCAGCTGAAGTTTATTCTTTAAAGTAATAAAATAGGTTGTGACATGCATTTATTATTCCAGATACCATGACTTTATATTTTCCAGAGTCTGTGGGATGATCCATAATTCTATGAAGAACATGTTTGTTTATTCTTTTACAACGGCCCCATTCTTTGCTGAATGGAAGCAGATTTGAAGGGGGTCAGTTAAGGTTTTCATAGGGATCTGACACAATTCTGTGCTAAAACCCTGGCCCAAGAGATGTGTCAGCATTGCGTTCCCCAGCCCTTGGCTTCTGAAGCTCTCAGGGAGGGTAGCAAGATCATTTCAGAGAAAATGTATTTTAAGTTAAAGAATTGAACTGGCATTTTGCAGTACCTAGTTAAAAGGTAACTTAAGACTCTTTCTGGAATTCCTTCTTCAAATGTATCTTACCTGCCTAATCTTCACTACTCTTTTCTTTGCTAGCATTTGCAATTATGGGGAGTAAAATATTGCAAGAAACCCACTGGATATTATAATTCCCAGATGAAAACTACCAAAATGGACATTATGGGTCCATAGATATTAGCCCAACATTGTTACATGTATATATCCTTCTCCACAGGGCTGAAATAATAAAAACAGTCTTAAGATTGTGAAAAAATACTTTTTTTTTTTTTAAACTAGACCTGGATCCCTTTCCACCTGAGGAACGCTATGAGGTTAAAGTGCGAGAAGGTGTTGGAGCAGTGCTTCTGTGTGAACCTCCTTACCATTACCCAGGTAATTTGTCCAAATTGGTTTATTTTCAACTGCATGTGTGTAGCAGAAAAAGAATATTTATTTTTAAAAGTGTAATTTAAGTTAAATGGAGCAAAATATTAGTGGCATATGTAAGAGGTAGGAGTATGCCTACAGTAAAAGAGGCATAAATGTATCTGACTTGATTAGTGCAGCTGCTTCTCTTATTTGAAAGTAGTCAATGAACTGGAGATTGTCTGGATCACTTTTCATTTATTAGACTTAGGACAAGTTTTAAACATAGCCTGAGGTAATATTTGCCTTCAATGTATTTAATCCTGTATTTAAACTGAGCTGTTTAAATGTGTCCATTCTTTAAAAAATATTTCTCCAAACTACGACTGTGTTTTTATCAGGGGCATGTGGAATATAGGCCTCTCTTCTCATATTTATATAAATTCTCAAATGGAATTTATATGAAATGTAACTTATGCAGCTTGGGAATCACTGTTTAGGTTGGGCTTCTTTCGAATATATACTTGCAGTTGAGCTTTTGTAAAGGATATTTTTGAATTTGCCAGCAGTTTTTGATCTTACAAATCATGTGACTAAAAATAATCTTGACAAATAGGGGAGGCTTGGCCTATGATTTGACAGATCTGAGTATCTCTGTATCACAGACTTTCTACTGACCTCCATCAAGGCTAAACTTCATTCTGTGCAACAGAGTCACCGCAGTAGAAGTGGTCAGGGGCTCCATTAAATTCATGAAATAGCAACAGGGATTCTCAGAGGATCAGAGATGAGATGAAATCTCTGAATCACTTATGAATCACTGGAAATGCCTTTCTTGCAGCCTTAGGTCCTGAAGAACTCTGCAGGGATTACGCCCTTCGCTATGCCATCCAGTTCCATCATGAGGGGTGAATTTGGCTGGCAGCAGCTCTGTTACTGCACCTTATTTGTAAAATGAGATAATGTTTTGTTTGTTACATTTTTTTGCTTTGTGTCTCAGTTGCAGAAGTAATCTTGTGGGAGGAACTGAAACATACTTCTCATTGCAATATTTAAGGTCATGTCTAAATGACAAGACTTTCACAGACTTCCCAGATTCTCAGTTATGTCTGTGTGACACCCAGCTGCATATTCCCTGGCCACCTTCCACTCTAGTTCTTGTGAAAAGGATGGACTCAGGAAACCATGGTCACTATAGTGACGTTGCCAGTGATCTGGATAAATCTGGACTACTGGGAGTAGTAACCTATGTTCAGTGTAGACAGCTAGACTACCTGACTATTGAGATAAGTCTATTCTATCTCATGTAACTGTCTTTCCTGAATAAAGGATTTATAAACTAGAAATCAAAGGAAAGTAATTTATATGCAGAGAGTCTACTACGACTTAAGTAGCCTGCAGTATAGCTATTGTTTTCTATTATTAACTAAAAAATATTTTCCTCCAGATGATCTGAGTTATCGCTGGCTTCTAAATGAATTCCCAGTATTCATTGCTTTGGACAAGCGGCGATTTGTATCACAGACGAACGGCAATCTCTACATTGCAAATGTAGAAGCATCAGATAGGGGCAATTATTCATGTTTTGTGTCAAGCCCTTCAATAACAAAGAGCGTATTCAGTAAATTTATTCCACTTATTCCACAATCAGACCGTAAGTGTTTATTGGAAATACTGCATAAATGTAATGTTCTAACTGTTCATATTTTTATTTTCCTCATTCATTACATGATTTTTAGCTATGTGAGAAGAATAATATGGCAAGTCTTAAACCAACATTGCAGAATGGCTACTGCACAGAGGTTTTAGTGTTCCACATACAAAGGTTCAAATCATTCCTATCCACACTGAAAATTGGGAGGGAAATTTCTATTGATTCATTCACAAAATTAACATCATTTTGAAGCACTGAGAATATTTTTCCCCACCTCTTTCATGTGATTAGACCCTATGCTCATCCCAAGATATTTTATATGTTTTTTGATGTTGGCATTTGTTCAAAAGGGTATAGGTAGAAAGCAGAAACTTTATGAGAGAATTGATGCAGCTTTAGGAATTAAAATATTTCCAGAAAAATCCAGAATGAAAATGAAAAATACTTTTTCTCCTATTTAAATCTCCTATCCAGTGGTGGCCTATGGTCTCTACGCCTCATGGGCCAATCTCCTGAGCCATCTATTCCATTCTTTGTTATTATTTTCTGAATTCTTCATCAAAACTCTGTATTTTCCAAATGGTAAGCGGGTTCCCTTGACCTTTTGGACTGTAAATCACTAGAGTCTCATGAACTGGAGATGATCAGATTTTCAGTAACCTTTTTATGAGTTAGATCTCCCATATTACTGTGAAGAAAGATGTTTGAATTTGGGCAATTACAAAGCAGAGATCTTTATCCTGCTTCTTCTTGGCCAGTGCCCACACTGAATTCTTCCTGTAGTGGTATCAAGGAGTCCTACAGAGATCACAGAGTCCTTCAGAGATTCAGAGATCAGGTAGACTTAATTGCATACTGTTGCCACTTGGATTTCTGGCACTTCCCTGTTCCCTCATTAAGCAGTATATTTGCTGGCTCTAGCTCCTTCTTGCCATCAGTAAGAAATCACTGTCAATATTCTATCCACTAAAAGAATCTGGAAAATAGACGAGAAATAGTGGCTCAGGTTTTTGATTGTCCCCATGCTCAGGACATGGTGACACTTAAAATGCAAATAAATGAATTTATGCTCAAGAATTCTGCTGTAGAAAATGTTAAGCACTTCTCTCCAAATAATTAATAAAACGATTCTGCCTTACTATTAAATATTTAATGCTAAATCAAACTTTGTGGATCTGGCCAGGCAATTATGCGTTGTAAAGAAGAATGATGCCTGGAATTTTAAGAAAGGTTTTGCGGAACTGAGGAAGTTGTAATTGCCGTGTTCATTCCCGCTAGGCCATTTCTGAAAATGTCTTTTTTAATGTTAGGTGCTAAAGTATATCCTGCTGACATCAAGGTGAAGTTCAAGGACACATATGCACTCCTGGGCCAAAATGTGACGCTGGAGTGCTTTGCTCTTGGGAAGTAAGTGTGTTTTAAAATAATTGTAGAGCACTGTTTGCCTTCATAATTCAGGATGGAAAATATACATTTCGTTATCAATACTTTTCTGTAGTCTCCAATTTAACAGACAGTTCTTGAGCATGCTGATTTGATCTCATTGTACCTTTTCAAGTCCGGTTCCTGAACTGAGGTGGAGTAAATACCTTGAACCCATGCCAGCCACAGCTGAGATAAGCATGTCTGGTGCAGTTCTTAAGATCTTCAATATTCAGTATGAAGATGAAGGACTTTATGAATGTGAAGCTGAAAACTATAAAGGAAAAGATAAACATCAGGCAAGAGTTTATGTACAAGGTAGTCGAACAATTTTATTCTTCACTAGTTATATTGCTTTTTTATATTGGAAGTATCTTTTTTCACATTCCATGTCAGTGCTGACTCACTGCATCATCTTGACATACTGTTGTTTGGATTGATAAACAAAATCAAAACCTATGCATTGGGTGGCAGGCATAACAATCATTTATTATTGAGCAGTTGCTTGGGTTGTATGGTTATGATGACTGAATATACACCTTGACATTAATGTGTGTTAGCATTAATATAATTATGCATAGTGGAAATTATTGAATTAAATAGAGTATTTAAACTGAAAGGACTGCCAAGAAGAAAAAGGAATCATTAGGTTTATTATGCTTACTTGTTTCCTCATTTTGTCGTTTTTTTTTTATTATTATTCCTCTCTCTGCCTCTTACCAGCTACAGTCAAGTTTTTATTCTGACCGCCTTTGTTCATTCCCTTTGTGCATTTGAGTAAAACCCAAATGAGAGACTAAAATATTGTACCTCAGTTCTCATAGTGGAATGATCCCAAATAACCAGACTCACTGAGACTTCTGCCACCCAACTGTGGCTTCCTACATGTCATCAGAATTAACCTCAGAGCATTTCTCTCCATTGACAGTACAGAACATGTTCTGAGTTAAGATCCTCAGTTAAGCTTTTGAACTTCAGTAGGATAAATTCAAAACTGGTCTGGGATAGTTGTTACTGCTTGTTATATATATATAAAGCTAATAAATAGATTAGTTTGTTTAGTAAAAACAATAATGCTGGCACATTTACAATGTTAATTTCTTAAATATCTTCCCTGGATGAAGAGAATATTTTCTTGGAAACACTTTCAGTATGTTCCTGGTTGCACAATTTTATGCCATTTATCATTTTTGTGGTGATATTGTACAATTTACACGTCTGCCTGCATTATCTTGTGTTTTTGGACATTCACGAATCATTATTTCAATTCTCTATTTTCTTTTCATTAAAAGTCACTGGTAGTTTTTCTGGGGCCAATATGGTAACACACTAACAAACAGCTTCATTCAGACTTACACTGGTATGTAGTGCTGAGCTGCCAGAGCTTCCATTATTAGTCTTTGTGTCCTCTTAAGTATGACAGAAAAAGCAGAATTAATAGAACGTAATGTTAAATATGTCTGATAAATTTACAAGGCCTCATGTGTTTTTATTGTTCAGCATCTCCAGAGTGGGTGGAACATATCAATGACACAGAGAAGGATATAGGCAGTGACCTCTACTGGCCTTGTGTAGCTACAGGCAAGCCTATTCCGACCATTAGGTGGTTGAAAAACGGTGCCTCAGTAAGTATCTTGCTCTAGGTAGGGCAGTATTTGTTGGTTACAAGCCAATGGAAATTATTTTTTGAAGCATGCGTTATTAACAAGTTTAAAAAATTATGAATCATAATGATAGATGTTTTCACTGATTATATTGCACTGGAAATTTAAATCTATTTTTAAACATTTATCTCAAACTCATTTTTAATTCTGAAGTACATTTCTTTACACTATTTAATATTCAGCTCTGGGTTCTGAAGTTGCTGTCTGAGCACATATGGTGTGTTGATACTTCTGTTCCTTCAGCCCTTTATAAGTAAATGCTATTTTCTTTTCTCTAGATAAAAAGTGCTATCAGCTTACCTCAAAAATAATCCTTTTTACAATATTGAGCATGAACATGTCTTTAAAAATGAAGACAAAATGAAGTCAGTGGAGACATGAGAAGAAAGATTTTTTAATGATTGTTGATGTTCCTATATCAAATTAGTTGGTCACAGAATATATTTTGGTCACGGAACATTGCAAAAATCAGTTCTTTTAGGCAATGTGAAGTTTAAATGAGTGCCATTTGATGATTTCAGTTTATTGCTCTGGATTTTTTAAGTCAAGTTTATTTTCAATCCAGGCATTTCATTTCAATATTCATATTTAATATCTGTTGCTTATGCTGTATGATGAACTGTTAAAGAACAAACAAAACAGAAGATACAGCACTACATCTGTTGAGACCTGTTGAGTGTTGGTGACACTGATCTTGACATTCAGACAGAAAAGAAGACAATGAGATGGAGCTATTTTGCCTGTGTATCTTAATAAAAATGTAAGAAATTGGAAAGAGAACAGAGATATCACCATCTGCCAGAAGTATTAAACTGGGAAAAAAAACCAGTGCTATATTGTAGCATCTGTAGTTATTAAAAACAGGTAATTTAACAAGCAAATTACTTGACTGTCCCCACTGAACTTGCTTTCATGGGAAAAAAACCTGCACACTGGATTGCAGAACACCAGAAGATTATGGTGTATATGGCAATTATGAGATAGTTTCTAAATAGAAAATAAATTTTAAAAATGAATATCCTTGAGAATATAGCTTGCTTTTGGATCAAATATGACTATTAAATAGACATTTCATGTAGCACAAAAAGAAGATAACTGGAAAACATTATTTAAAAAAATAAAACAGTAGGGGAAATATTTTTCTTTTAATCCTTTCTTCAGATAAATAGTATTTCTTTCATCTTCCACTACTCGAGGCACTTGAATCATATATAGGATTAGAGGATTTCAATCTAATTTTCACAAGAAAAGAGAACTTAGTAATGCCTATTTTAAAAAAGCAAGAGATCTATTTGTAGCTTACAAAATATCCCATCATATTTTGCTCCTTTCTAAACATTTTTTAAGAAATAGACTTGATACTTATTTTGATTTACCAGGTGTTCTTTATGAAGAAGTGATTTGCACTACTTCTCCATGGAATCTGGAAAATTTTCTGTTCATCTTGTAAGGGCGTGAATTGACCTTTAACTACTGTTGCAAAATAATGTACATAAAATATAACAACCACTGGATATGGCAAAACAAAGTTTATGTGAATAAAACAAATTTCACTTCTTGCTTATTAGAACAAGATCAACATCTTGTTCAGGGTCAGTAATGTCTGAAACTTTATGGAAAGAATGGACTGAAGAATAGATGTTTGTAGTGTCACTGAGCATTGAATTTTCCAGAAACGTAACGATCCACACTGAATTTCTCTGTCTTTGAGAAGATGAACGTACTGTCACAAAGACTGAAATGTGACATGGGGAAAATAATATCTTTCAATAGCTTAATTTTATGTGAGAGACCCTTTTTCTGAACACTGTCACTAAAAAAGAAAGTAAAGAACTGTGGGTGGGTAGGAATTCTATAGCATATGTAGTCTAAATGAAAAACTTATGATTTTATTGATTTTATTGATTTTATGATTTGTTGATTTCAGTTCCGGAAAGGTGAACTAAGAATACAGAGTCTGACCTTCGAAGATGCTGGCATGTATCAATGTATAGCAGAAAACACACATGGAATTATTTATGCAAATGCTGAGCTGAAGATTGTGGGTCAGTGAGATTAATTGCTTTTATATACAATTATGGGTTTGAATAAGATAGCACTCATATTTGCAAGAACTATTTGATAGTATATTATTAGAATAATAAAGAACTAAATATAGATGAGATGAGACTTAAGCTGACTTTTGACAATGAGTTTAAGAGTCAAATTATTAATTTATAAGGAACATTTGCTAGATTTTTTCTGATGCTTACCTGCTACTGTTAGCACACAAAAACTGCTAGCGTAGAAAAAAACGCATAGAGGTGCTGAAAGCCCTGTCAAGCTCACAAAACTGTTTGAAAAATGTTTTCTTTTTTTCTACCTTACAGACTTCTGTTGGGAAAATACTGTTTTTTTGGAAGCCATGCTGTCAGCAAATATATAATTTCTTTCACTAGACTCTTCATCTTCATTGTCCCCTTTTCCTTTGCTTCTATAACCCTATAAGCCCAGCTGCAATATGGGTCTGCAGTGCAGCTGTCCTATTTGGTGGCTACATGTAGTTATTAATTCAGTATTTCTTCCAAGCTATTATCTTGTAGCAGAAACATAGATTTTCATATACAGAGTGCTCAGGTTTAAAACAATTTTTGGCCTTTCTACTGATGTCATTATAGCAGTTGGTTTGGCTATATGACATGGATGTGGCTTTCATGGGGACTTTTCTTGCAGTTGTTATCCTATCTTCTTTCTAACACACCTGCCTCCAGACTTTCCTAGGAGCTAAACTAATCTTGCCTTCACCAACCCGTTGCACAACAATATAATAATACACCATCCCTCTTCTGTTGCCATTTGCTGAGTACCAGCCTGGATTGCTCAATCTTTAGCACTGTTTGCATGCACATTGCATGCACCACTGAAAATTAAAACCAACTATTATTTGAAAGTGGGAGGTGAGCAAGCTGAAATTTTACAGAAGTTGAGCTCTAAGAATCTAGATTTTATTAGGTTTGATCAAAAAGGCTGTTGAGGCAGAAGAACTTCCTGTTGATTTTGATGGGCCTTGATCTTGTTAGGTTAACCTTAGATGGAGTTTCAGAAATAAACAGTCAGAAACCTCTAGTGCGTAGAACTGCAGAATAATTTTTCTTGTTTCTTTCAGAGCACCATGTGCAGCTCACTGCATTTCTATATCATTGTTTTTCTCAATAGTCTGAATAAGGAAAATTATATACAATCAGTAGTTCTGTCCTTACCTTAGTCTTTATGTTGCAAACAAACTATGTTCTGCACAAAAGTCATTAACAGCAATGCTCATGTGATAATCTTTCCTTTCAGCTTCACCTCCAACTTTTGAACTGAACCCTATGAAGAAGAAAATCCTAGCAGCCAAAGGGGGCCGTGTAATAATTGAATGCAAGCCTAAAGCTGCTCCCAAACCAAAATTCTCATGGAGCAAAGGAACAGAGTTGCTCGTAAATGGGAGCCGGTTAGTATTTGTTATTAGTGATCACAATGCTTCTTAAAAATGCTGACCTCAGTTTGTATTTATCCTACAGACTAGTTCTGACTTTTGCAAGCTTCAGAGGCAGGAGAATGGTAGGGCGACGTGAAGCTCTCATTTACGCTGACATCCCTGAAGCAGGACACCCTGGCAGCTGTAGAGTGGAGGAGATGAAGTTAATACTAAATCATGATTTGTGTTTCGCACAATTGCCCAAGGAATTGATTCATATTATTTCATTATGATTCTAACTGTCAATTCAAAACATCTAAGGATTCCATTTTGTTAGTAAATTTCACCAAACCCCTCAAGAACAGCTCTTAGCTCCCCTGCTGTCTCTGCTCGGTGTATGACACAACTGAGACTGCTCGGTGTATGACACAACTGAGAGTCTTTGTTTTTGTTTTCATACTAGACACAAGTCTAGAATAATGTCTATATTTTAAGCAGTTAGTCCCAGCACAGAACCAAGGGTCCTTGTTAAATGCCAAGGAACCTCATACAGCTTCATTACAATAGGTGGATGCTTAAGAACAGGATCTGAAACTTCTCTGTCTCTTGCCGCAAAGCAGTTGTTTAGCTGGAGAGAATCTGACATTCCAGATTCTGACTGCACTTTGCTCTGTGACCGGGTGAGGAATACCCCAGCTGGAGAAGAGGAGATCTGAATTTCCACTCCCATTCCAAAGTTTATTCATAGATCTTAGAGGAACAGTCCCATGGTAGAATGCAACTTCTCTCTACATACAGCATTTATTGCACTTATTTAGACAGTATCTTATGAAAGGAAACCTAGTTCAGCAGTGCATTAGTAGATAAGGAACTGTGTAAGTAAGTGTGGTTGGTTTAGTGTTTATGAGAAGCCAATAATCTCTATAACGCACTTGTTTCCAAGGGAGATCTCTAAGCAATACTACAGTACATTTTTGCTAATGTTATACATTATACACGTTGTATAATGTTATGTTATTTAATAATACATAATATAGGCTATATAATAATAAACTAATATCTGATGCCCTCATCTACATCATAAACTTGAAAAAAGACGTTGCAATTGATACTTGTGATCTTTTAACTTACTGCATCAATTCCTACTGAAAGTATTGCTTTCTGGTATAAATGCTGTGTTTTTTTACATTTTGATAGCATACGTATTTGGGATGATGGGAGCCTGGAAATTATCAATATCACGAAGCTGGATGAAGGTCGCTACACATGCTTTGCAGAAAATAACCGAGGAAAAGCTAATAGCACTGGTACTCTGGAAATGACAGGTAACTTTGTAACTTAATTTATTACAGAAAGTACCCTGTTCAGAAAATGTTTATTAATCTGTAAGACATTATATAATTGGATCCATCGATTCAGATAGTACATTTTGATGCAGTTATTCAGCTTGGTAGCATAGCTCAGACAGAGAAATGAAACCATGATTCTGGACCATGGACCATTCTGGACCTCTTGTCCTTCCTTAATTTTTCTCTGTCTTTTTTTTTTTTTTTAATGAGGAGCAGAGACTTACAAGATTCAAAGCATTACATTGTGAGATGGGGTATATATTCATATAACTGCATTACTCTTTTTGTTTTTTACAGGATATTAATATTTTCTGATTGAATACTGATATCCTTAGTTTTGTATTTTTGTATTTTTGTCAAATACTTAAATGTCAAATAATTCAGTATCTATTGAATACAGACAGGAAAGATGACATTCATGAACAGCTAGTCCTATCAAGCATCCAGAAGTCTCACTGATAGAAGAAGAATTAGTTATTAAAAATATTTCTTAAAGCCTTTTCCAAAAACCATACTGGATGTGGCAGCGCAATATTAATATACTCATGTAAGAATGAATCCATATAAGAAAGTCATATGAAAACACTGTTGTGGCTCCTTTATTATACCAAATGAGAGGTTACTGTTTGTTTAATGTTTGCAGTTACTTTTTGTCTTCTTTTTTAGTTCTCTATGTCTAAATATTTCACTCAACCATTTAATTATTTTCAAAGATTATGTAAATAAATAGAGCCCCTTAGCAATCATACTGTATCTTTACGGTTAGGAAGAACTTTGACATAATAAGGCCTCATGATGAAACACTTAAAATGTGTTTATAAACTGTATAAGCTAATCGTAAAGAATTTTCAAATTCTGGAGCATTCGGCTGTGGTTCATCTGAAGAGGAACACTGAAAGAGTAAGATACTTCCCTGATCTCACAGCAGAAACAGGCAGATCAGATGGCATATTTCAAAATTGTTTTCACATTGTGGACAAGGATGATGACTAAGAATGCTTTGAAAATGATATTCTCAAGCACTTTGTGTATGGCCCGTAAAACTTCTCAGACATTGCGCAGAGGAAATTAAAAAGCTAAAACTAAAGCTGACAGGCACAGTAAACTGTGGTAATTTTCCTCACAAGCTGTTTGCTCACTGCTTCTAGACCACTGTTTCAAGATCTCCTTAGACAGATAGAAGACTTTATGTTAACTTCTGGAAAATTTCTGATGCTAGGGCAATGCCTCCTTCCATGAGGATGCCTACGACATGCTCTCGTAGCTAGGAATTTAAAGATCAGATGTGAGCAGACTGCTCTGATGCACTGTGGGACAGTGCGTCCTCAGTTACCCACTTGTTGTTCCGCCATACTCATATGCTAAGGATTAAACAGGTTTGGGATTGCTAGGCTAGGATTTGGGGGAAAGTTCTCTCCAAGTCAGATTGATAAGAAATATGGGAAAATCTCTTCAAAAGAGAGAAGCATAGTCATTTTAAAAGAATATCTATCTACAAGCAAGGCATTTCAGATGTGAAGGCATTTCCAGTGTTCTCTTTAGTTTGGTCTTTTGAAGTGCAGTTGCATGAATAACATGCAAAACAAGATTGGTGGAGAAGTTTCATGTACAGTCAAGCAGTTATTGATCCGAGTTTACATTTGTATAAACACCTGTAATTGGAATTTTCCATGTTTGCTGTTAACTTCACAGAGGCCACAAGGATTATTTTAGCTCCACTGAATGTTGATGTCACCGTTGGAGAGAATGCTACCATGCAATGTATTGCATCCCATGATCCCACTTTGGACCTCACATTTATCTGGTCTCTAAATGGCTTTGTAATAGATTTTGAGAAAGAGCATGAACATTATGAAAGGAATGTTATGGTAAGATACTATAAATCTTATTTAATATATGGAAGTCTTTTTTTCTTGGTTGTGAATAGTTGTCTTTTCTGTTTTACTTTTTTTGCTGTGTTGGTTCATTTATAGAAAAATGCAATAGGATAAGGATATAAAATAAAGTTACAATTTAGACACCTTGCAGAGAGATATGCCACATGCTTACAGGTAGACACACAAATTCAGAAATCTGGATCAAGTATTTTGGTACCTGAACTAAATTCCACTCTGCTGACTCTGTGCCTAAAATGAAACAATATTGAGGTTCAAATGTTGAATAATGAGTACAGCTGGAGAGCAAGAAACATATTACCTTGTAAAAGCATGCACATGCATACATTTTTACTTGCTCATGTTTTTCTGAAAAACATTTCTGGAATTTGGCACAGGAATGAACCAGATGGTGGGTAGGATTCAAACAGTCTGTAAACACTGAGCAAGAAAGGTTTGTGAGAAAGCTAAAGAAGCTAATACAAAAACACTTATTTTGGCACATAGAAAGAGGAATCGTAGACTTTTTGTATATACTTTTCACGTGTGTAATAGAATCATAGAATGCTTAAGGTTGGAACGGAGCTTTAGAGATCATCTAGTCCAACCTCCCTGCACGCACAGGGTCACCTAGAGCATGTGGCACAGGACTGTGTTGTGAAAACAAAGGTTTTCTCTTTATAGTTCTCCATCAGTCTTACACAAGATTATCTTGAGCAGAAATACTTCTTAGTTGTATCTAGTGATATCATAATTTATCTAACACAAATTATATTCTCAACCTTCAAGCCACCACATTTTAAACACTCCCCCAAGAGAGTGGGTTTTCAGAGAGAAGAGGCTGCTGAAGCTCTCCATAGCTTCTGAGAACCAGGTGGTCGCTGGACAATTTCTGTTACACTTTTGGAATTAGACATCTTTTAACAATGCAACCTACAGAGTCTTCTTGGACCTGCAGTGTTATTTCATGTGAAGAACATTTTCCTTCTCTCTTCATATTTCCATATCTGTTTATCTGTCTCAGGAGATATTTCAAGCATACCTGTTTCAGCCTGATTGGGAACAAACCAGTGCTCTGGCATGCTGACTTAGCCTGCTCATTTGCAGAGTTGTTTTGAAGGTTTCTAAGAAGATACACTGCTCTCTTTCAGTGAGAGAGCAAGTCCTCATCCAAAAAGCCAGGAGCAATATGCTAAAGTCAGCTGAAAAGCTTTGAAACCTGAAGATATGTATCCCTTTGTGCAGTAAACCTTACACAAGCCCATGTCCAAACTGGGCAGCAGGATACTAAGCAAACTGAAAAGTGTACTTTGTGTTGCCTTAGGATTTGCCAAATGTGTTGATCTACCCTAACACCATCTAAAAAATTTCCTGTGTGTGGCTGCCAAGCACGCCACCATTTGTAAGTTTAGATTTGCATTTCTGTACTACTCAGTGCATGGGAGTACCCTGCAGAAGCTTTTATGGCCTCCTAATGACATCCTTTTTCTTTAAATAAAAACAGAAAACAATCTGATATTGTCAGTCAAAATAAGAGCTGAAAGAGTAAAGATCCCTCCATCTAATATATTCCTTGTAGCAGGGCAAATTAAACCAGTCCTCTTTTTTGTCAAATTTTCTTTGGTTGTTTCCTTTTAGCCTCTTGACAGAAGTCGCACAAAGAAGTTACATTCCACAAAGAGCAGATCAGAATGAAAGAGTGCATTAATCATTGATTTTGATGTGTAAGCTTATCCTGGAATATGTAATGCAAGAGAAGACTCAACTTTCTCCATCTGTAGATCATGTGTTGAACAGAAGTTTTTATTTCAGTGGCACAAGCTTTTAAGTGTTGTTTAGAAAATTAATTCTGAAATTTAAACCCAGTTTTATGGCACTTGTTAACATAGTGTTTTAAGTGAACAAGTCTGTGGCCAAATAGAGGTTTCAGTGAGTGTCTAAAGTGTAGGTCTCTCTAAAGTTGATGTTTAGATCCCCAGTCAACTGTTTCATCCCGCAGAGATAGCTGGTGGTTCTGGACTTCCTGATCCCAAGTTCTGATTAATTGACAGTGTTTTGGATGCTGTACTGAAGTGTTGTCTTGTTTCTGTGGTCTGAAGAGAGAGAAACACACAAATCTGAGGGTGGTTCACTTCATGCAGCTGTTGAACTGTGCTGGAAATAACTGCATTTTCCCGTAGACAATGGTCTATGGGAAATGGATATAGCCCATAGGATATAGAAGAAGTGACTAATTCCTCATTCATTACTTAAAGTTAAGTAGGACCCAGACATTATTTACTTTATCTGTCAGTGTATATAACATCCTCATGAGGACTATTTTGTGATTTGATGTGTTCATTTTGTGCTTGGTCGATACGGGTGTAAATGACTGAAGCAGAGGCAGCTTCTCCGTATGCATCCCCAAGCCTCATTTCTGGGCTTTCCCGTGCAAAGCAAGTGCAGATAATCCCTGTTCCTCTTCCACAGACAGCTCAGCCTCCATCGGTCAGGACAGGAGGGGGCAGTAGGACTGCATTCCAGCTCTGCTTCTGAGATTTGTTGCTATTCTGGGATTCAACACTTAAGGAATAGTGAACATAGGAGAATTTTTTAAAATGCAAGGAATTCACTACAAATGTTTATATAGGATGTATTTAAGAGAAATATGCACTTTCAACATTTCTGTTTCATTCATTTATTAACTTAGTCTATCTTTTATTTTATTTTATTTTATTTTATTTTATTTTATTTTATTTTTCTAAGTCTGTGCACAAATTCTCCTCATTACTTTTTAAACCTCTCTCGCAGTTCCCAGCTCAAGTTTTGCTCAGACTTTCTTGGCTGCCACAGGGTGAGTTGTTGTGCACCAGACAGCAGCCGCCCAAAGGGCTGTGCTTGAAGCACTGAGCTTCCATGCTGCCATGCAGCTCTTTATAAGCAGAAAAGAAGAAATATCCTATCATGAAAATTACAATGATTGGATGCATCATTCATACTCTCTGTAATTTCCTCTTGATGAAGGAGCTGCATCTGTCTTCCTGATAATATAGCTATTAATTTATAGTGACAAACAGATCAACATGCTGAAATTTGATATAGACACAGTACTTCAGTTCTCAAAATAACACTAATATTGTTGTTACATACACATAATGGAATTGTAATGAAATTCATGTAAATACCTGCCCAAATCCTTTTACTTTAAATGGAAGCTTTCATAGCTCCATCAATTGCTGAAGGCGAAATTAATTTGCATTACATTAGTGCTGTAATTCATTTCTCCAAAAAGATTTGTCAGTGCTATTTTAATTTCACATGGCCTTAAGTATGGCAGTAGTATTTAGAATTCAAAAAAACTAAGAATTGGTTAGTATGCAATCTTAGGAACAGCTGTCAAATGGAGTCTTCTAAGTTTTGCTACTAAACTGGTTGTGTTTGATTTCGTGTATAGTTGTTCCTATGATTATTTGATTGAGGAGCTAAATATTAACATATCTTTTCAAGACCCATAGAGATATGGTGTGTGAAATAATCTGGAAACCTCTGAGATTTTGTCATTTCTTATTTATAGAATTGCTTTTTGCTGTGTATATTTAAAGATTGATTATCTTTATTACTTTTAGCATACATTCAAAGATTTAGTATGCACTGTGCAAAAAAAATAATTGTTTTGTTTTTAAGCTTTTTACCAAATATTCTCTAACGTATTTTTACAGTCTTTTGTAATGCACAAATTCATGTGCATAGTTGGTCAGGAAAAGGTAATCTGTAATTGTTACAGTCAGGAGCTCAGAAACTTGTGCTTAAAAAGCATCCAAATGTAGACTGAAATAGCCTTAGTCACATGCACACAAACTTTACAATATATTTTGAACCATTCGTAATCCTGTTTGCTACATGGTTAAAAAGCAAGGTTAGGTATGTATTGTGTTAAGCAATATCAGTGGCCCTGAAACATGGATATTTTTATCATCATTTTATTTTTAGTAAGTTAAATTAAACTAGGCCTCCTGGCAACCACATTTCTTTCAGAAGAATTAAAATATGGAAGCTTGTTTATGGATCTAAAGATCTTCTAGCCGTTTCCAAGAAAGAGGAGGTGGTGGTAGTGTTCCAACAAGACAAGAAGATGCCTTTGTCATAAAGACGATTTACTGGTTACTTGCATATTAACAATGAGATCATCAAAAGAACATAAACGACTGTGTTTGGGTTCCTGAGACTGTTTCATAACTACTAAAGTCAGGCTTATATCACCGCATTATTCATTCTCTAGATCATTTTAAGTGCTTCCTGAATTTGTTTGGAAGTTCTGTTCTTGGCATCTAATGTGTTTTTTCCATACCACAAAATACGTTACTCTTATTTTTACATCAGGTAGCCAGAAGACTTAATGCTGCTTTGTAATCCTATTTTGTTGAAAAAGCAGTTCTTACAGAGATGTAGATTTTCTTTTCCCTTTGCAAAAACTAAATAAAATGAGCAAAATTAGATTGAGTGATTAAAGGTTGGAGCATTTAGGTCTAATGCTGGAACAAGTTGACTGGAGAGGTTGTGGAGAAATAGTCAAAAATACCCGTAGGTTTAATCACCCTTAGAAGTAATCAAAATACCTGGAATGCACAAGGCCCTGAACAATCCTTTTCAGTTGACCTGTTTGAGTGGGGAGACAGGGCATGGGACTGCCAGAGAGTGCTCTGACTTCAATTGTGTGGTTGTGTGATATTTTAATATAATAGTGTTTAAAAAGCCCATAGTTAAATAAAAACCATGAAGTATGGCATTGAGTATTGAAAGCAGGTGGCAGTAATTTTCTACGCAGCCAATTCCTCTATGTGGTAGTGCACAATGTTTGTATTATGTAATATCAACTCCTTCCACTGTAAGCAGAAGCTGTTGCCTTGCCAAAAAAAAAATGAGATCATTTTAGAAAAGAATTTTGGAAAGAGTAACACTCCTGGTTTGAAGGAACTTTGGAAAAGAAAAAAGAAAAAAGAAAAAAAAACCATACT